GGATCTCGAGGACTAACTAATCAAGAGAGGGAAAGGAGAAGAGCTAGGAAACATGACAATGTCAAGCCCTACATTTATATGCACAAGATGGGCAAGGCAATGATCCTGAGAATCTCCAGAAGATTTTTTAATCTAGCAGTTAATTGGAAAGATTCTCACCCTGACTAACTACATATACTGATATCTGTGAACTAAGCAAATGCACTGTAGATGGTAATCTTTAATAGTTGTTTCATGCTTGGAGGCCTGTCCTTCTGGTCTTCTGCATACAGGCTGCTTGTCAGGACATGATAGTGCTGCTGTGCTGCCTCTCGGGTACATGATTGTTCAAAAAGAGGGGAGTGGTGAATGAATGCAAAAGACAGGAAAAGGAATAATGTGGGACTGTCCTGCTTCAAGGTTGTATATGGTTAGATTTTTGTACTTATGTGTAAACATAAGATTTATATAATTCTTTATTCCTATTTTAAAAAATATATTCTAATTTTTAAATGTTTTTCATCATGTTCTGTAGGGACTTAAAGTTCAATATATCAATAATTGATGAAAAGTACCTGTTCCAAGTTTTTCCTAAGATGTTTGATACTCAGACAGATAGTGAGGTTAAGCTTAACAGCCTAAGTTGTATGGTAATAGCAATAAGCTTCTTTTCTGGAGGGTTAACAACCTAAGTTTGCAGACCAAAATTAGAGAAAAAGGTGGGCTACAAGGAAAGCCAACATTTTGGCCCTAGCTTTCTAAGGTCATTTAAGACTCAGGACATATGAGACCTTGTACTGTAATGTCATGTAACTCAGTAGTGTTCCAAATTTTCTGATCAAGGAGATTATGGGGCCAAAGAGGAAAGTGATCGATGATGTAGAGTGTACCTAAGGAAAGTCACATGGAGAGAAAACCCTCTCTCAGGCTTTCACAGAGAGCACATTGGCCAAGCAATGGCCATGACTCATTACATGGCTGACACTGACAAAGGGTCTACAACCTGAGGTACAGGATCTCAGGATAAATCCTAAGAGGATTTCACTGATGTTATCAGACTCTGAAGGATACAACTCTTTTTGCATACATCCTGCTTTACCTTGGTCTTAACCATCAGCAGAAATGTATATAAACGAAATATAAGAAGTAATGCCATGCTGTTATGTTGAGCTGTAGGGGACTCAGGTCAACAATTTCCGACATTGCCAGTGAAGTGGAAAACCCAAACTATTATGGACTACTGGACTCTTTCACAATATTTTACTGAGTTTATACACCTATAATATTCAAATAACAGAACTTAACAAAAAAGGGTATACAGATGAATGTCTATTTTGTATCTGTGTATGCAAAATGGTTAGGATAGATATATAGTTACATTCTTTTAGTGAATAGAGGGATTTGTTCTAATGGTGTTTGTATATAGAATACCATGTCTGCATTTTGTACAGCAATGAAACGCTAGGAAGAATGTATGCAATGTGCTAATTATTGCAACTGTCCTACCAACTTGGTTTGAAAAATAAATAGAACACCATAAGTATTTAGTGCCTGTACTGACATTATTAATGAATTTATTTAATCATTAATATAGACCCAATGATGCAAGAATAGCATTTCAATGTTTAAAATTACTATACTGGAAGAAATATAACTGTATTAAAAAGTATAAAAAAGATAATAACATGCTAGCAAAAATCTCTCCCCAC